AGCAATCGGTATCATAAGCACAAATAAAGATAAAGAAAGAAAATTAAAAAAAATAATATTAATAACAACAATAGTAATGTAACTATATTAAACAATAATATGCCTAACACTTTAATAGTTTTTATAAAGATTATAGTGCAACAAAATAACTGGCAATCTTTTCCGTTTGCATTTTGACAAAAATCCAGGATTCCTTTGCCAGGAGACGCAAATGGTAATCAAGGACCTTTAGTCTGGAGAGGGGAGAGTGAAGGGCAGGAGGCAGGACCTACTGTATCAATGATCCAAGTGGGAAAGGTTGTGGAGTTTCCTAAAATGTAGAGGTTAAAGGACTATAATTTTCAAAGAAGAGAGAGTGCTAGCTTGTAAAATAAGGTGATTTGATCATGGTTTTTGGGGGATGGACTGAGGGGAGGGGGGAGACATGTACTTTTTGGGCCCCACACACCCCCTAGATACACCACTCTCACTCAGATAATGGAATGATACATTAAATGTTCCAAAATGGTTATTTTTTTCAAAACGAACCTTGTTATTAATACCCTTCCTCTCGGCTGTAATTATTCTTTCTGGTGCACCGTGACGGTAGTACCATTTTTCTATGGCCTTGAAGACCGACTCAGCAGATGAGTTTGTTATTGCTTCTGCTTCTACCCACCTCGAAAAAAGGTCAGTGCAAGTAACAATATAATTGTTACACCACTTGGTTGTGGGCATGGGTCCTAAAAGGTCTATCCCCCATACCTTCAGTGGCTCATCAACCTGTAAACAAAAATAATTTTTGAACCATTATATTTTTGTAAATATAACTTTGGCAGAAATTTTAATTGAAAAATTAAAAGTTTAAAAACATACTTTAAAGTAAAAAAAGAGACATTTTCCATTTACTGAAAAAGTTTCTTCTGATTGACTGACAGTCAGCTATCATCATTAGCTTTTTACATTTCTGCTAGTTGTAGCTGCAACTGCTGCTTGGTTGCAGAACACAGCTACAGTAGCTGTGACTCACATTCTCATCCTATCATATTAATTTTTTTTTTAATAGTTTTTTTTTTTTAATATTGAAACCAAATAAAATGATTTGATCAATAATACTTACTATTATTTTGTGTGGTTGTGGCACTCCAGGTGTTGATTTTGGCCTCTTCTGACAGGTAGGGCATGAGGTGATCTATAAAATGGACTTCCCATGATTATTTTTAAATGCTGAAGAATACCATATTACACAATTATTACTATTGGTTAAAGCTTGGTATCTATACGCTACGCTTCTAATCGCTACATTGTCGCTACAGTGTATTCAGTGTACAGTAGCAGTACCCGACTAAATCGGGAATGCTCCCCAATTCGATCAACCTAATCAGCATTACCGAAAGCTGTCGGCGACAGTGTAACAATTGTACGGAAACCAAGCCTAACAATAGTCTTGGTTCAAACATTCAGTGATATGACATATGCCAAAATACGCTGATTGACTGCTGCAACGTTATGGAACACTCCCTCGGGGAAGTGATTTTGTGTTCCATAGTCGTTTAATCCAATGACCGAGATAATGATAATGTAAAGCGCATGATACATGATATACAATAGGTAATAAAACAGAAGGCATATAATAACCTTAAAACAGCAATTGGTGAGCAATGGCATCCTCAATAGGGAGTGTGGGGGGGGGGGGAAACTGGGGATAAATCTGCCACTGCCTAGCCTCTCAGAAAAACATGGACCACTTCGCCCATTGCAAAAATATTAATTTGTCAACCCAAAGTTTTTGTGATTGCAGTTTGTAATACTACTGTGGCCTAAAAAAACGCATGAGGTATCTCCCTTAGAGTTTTTTTTTGCAGTGTGTGACCTTCTTAATTACACTGTGTAAACAATCAATTACAGTTAGGCCTAAGTAAATAAAGTAAATAAAGTTCTTGATACAGTACTATTACCAACATGCAAGGTCACTGAATGGAGTTACCTGTTCCACTGTAAAGCAGCCTTCAGTTGTTTAATGGGTCATAAGTATTCATTAACATGTCAAACACTAATTCGACTTCACCTGACCAGTCGGGTATAGAACTGTAAAGAGTTGTACACCTAATGGTATCTATTTTCCCCCCACCCCCAAAAAAAACAGAGCCAACCCTAGATTTTTGCAGGTCAGTTGGTCCTAGGCAACACAAAGTTGTTTTCTTGTTGGCAGACTTCTCAAGTTAGTAAAATGCAATTCAGTAACCAAGTCCTCAAATATCAGTAGTTAATACAAAATTTCCAGTAGCACCAAATAATTTCTCTTGAGTGCAAAATATGGGTTGCTTAATTTACAGGTAAAGGATAATAAAAGCTGTGGAATTTCAAACAAACAGGATGAAGATTTACGGGCGCTTTTTCTTAGTTTTCACAATCATTTATCAGTAATCTGACAAGCGTGAGTTGTCTTGGGACAATGTAACCAAAGATTCTGATGGAATACTGGTAGTCACTTGTTCTGGACTTTAGACCTTGCTCATGGGTATTTTTGTCCATCCGTAATGAGACAAAATTCTGCAGTACTTGAGAAGTCTGTTGTTGTGTATTGCGTAAAGTATCTTACCCAATCTCTCACATCTTTACAGACGGTAACCCAGTAGAACCTGTCGCTTATAGTTTGTTGCACTTGCTTCATTCCTCTGTGCGACCCACCATGCTCATCACCGTGTACCTCTTTTAATACTTCTTCAATCTCTGAATTGCTGAAAAGAACTTTTTTCCTTTTTCCTTTCTTATCAATGTAGAACATAGAATCACCTAAAAACATTTTTAAAAAAAAGGACAGTGGCTATTGTTACACCAGTCTTTGTTAAACAAACTCTTAATTCTCATTGGATGTTACTGTCCTAGGCCCATGTACTTTAATGGTTAAAAATAGCCACTAGGCCCTACCACAAAAACTAAACCAATTTTCAATTTAGTTAGGCCTAGGCCTATATTATATCAAGATATTTATTCATTGTCTCCTACGAAAAATCCTCAATTAAACTGAATGTTCCCACTACACTATTCTCCTCAATCAAACTGAATATTCCACTGTACTACTAGGGCCTAGGCTAGGCTAGGCCTAGCTTGGGCCTACTAGGCCTAGGCTACTCTGGGCTAGAGACAGGCACCGGGCTCTTGTTTTAGACCTAGGGCCTATGCCAGGCTAGCACTGCATGCAAAACATAATAAAATGCAAACCAAATTTACCGTCTAACATGAACGATTTCGCTTTTCGTTTTAAGCATTTTATCCGGTTACTTATTCGTTTTTCGTCGGTGTCACTCAAATAATCTTGTGGAATCTCGCGACTTAAAATGTATTCTTTGATATGACAAAGATTAATTTCATCGCGAGAACTTCCCATGATGTAAAAATTGTCCAGGATCGAATAAACAATGGTTATGGAAGGCAATTACCGCCAAAAACACTCTAAAAAGTAACATAACGAGGAAAAGTAGGGATTTCCCCATCAGGACGTTTTTTTTTTCTCATAAAGTTTGCGGAAGGTAATTCAACAGAAGGGCGCACACATCTCCGCTCTCGAACATAGCGCGTGCGTACAGTCCTTTGATCTTTACTATGGCATCAACAATCCGGTACTAGTTGCGAGTACAGCCGTCAATTATTAGTCTATGCGTGCCATACGTTTTATGGTGTTAATACGGTACTATTTTATTAATTTTGGGTACTTCGCAATGTCTGTTACATCCGATTTCTTTTGACCGCGAGCTTGTTAAATGCCTCTATAAACTGCAATTTGATTTGTGAAAATTGATCAAGAAAATGAAAAGTTATAGCAATTGAAAATTTACTAATTTTATTTCATGTTCTTATGTAACATTAAACTGTCATTTTGACAATGTTAAACTAAGGTGCACAAAACGAACATTTGAGTAGATACAGAAAATTAATTTTTTTCTGTGAAGTGAGTCTCATGAACGACAATACACCACAACATCGGTTAAATTAATGTTGAAATGAAGAATATATTTCAGTAAGAGACAGTATTAGGAGACTATAAAATCGTTGAAAATATTAGGTATTTGAAACTCTAAAATTGCCATAGTTTCCGGGGGTGCACCCCTGGATCACTTTCAAGAGATTTTAATTGACGCCCGACAAGCCCCACTTACGTTCTCGTCGGGGAATCGGTCACTCGTGTCGGGGACACTGCTTCCCCCCACCCCCGCCCACCAACTGCTGTTGAACTTGTGCTGTGTTGGATTTTGCAGATGTGCATGCCGGACTCAGAATTGAAATTCAAATGAAATTTATTGGAAAATCTCCCAACGCGTAACCTTGGTAAAACAAGAACTCTGTACGAACTTGATTGACACTTTGCAATTTGAATTTGTTAAAAGGTAAGATAAGCCACTGCAAAATCACAACCGTATATAGGGGCCTATGCCTGCTATTCGTAATCTGTTGAATTTATTAAGCGTATCGTGGAGCCAAATAAGTGCATTTAATTAATCGATTTTGTCGATGCATTACAGCATAGAGCCATGACCATGGTATAAATACAGCAGAGAATACAGTTCGCGTTGATATTAAGGCAAAGCAGCAATTATATATCAAATAGAGTTAGGCTACTCAAATGAAAAATATATTAATTTAATAATTGCAATATTTTCAATCAGTAAAATTTTAGAATGGGATCGGACTTACCACCACTGAAAGATAGCCTATTGGCCTATACTGTAGTGTATTTTAATTATTTTTGTGAAACTTTGAATATATAGGCCTACCGATAAATAATAAAAAAATAATGTAGGTCAATTTAAAAGGGAGCACCCATAACTATAAAATTTTGTTCAATTCATTTATTACAGTAAAACTAAAAGGACGTATTGAACGAAATGTCAATAAAGATACTTTACATCCGCTGGTAGTGGACCAGTCAGGGGTCATTGACCGCGTGATCCAGGTAAAACCTTGACCTGATTGGACATATTTACATAATTATGCTAAGCGTGTGGACGCATGTCAGCCGTTTCAAGGTAGTCGCTTTATTAAAACTTAATATTTATGTCGAAATACTGCTATCTACTGATACACTGATGATGGGAAGTGCCAATAATAGATATTAAGAAAAGGGAAACACACATTCGATTTTCTTGCGACACTGTATGGAAATTTTGGCGAGCTGATTGTGTAGCGAACTGGGTTAGAGTCTAATGGAACGCAAGCTGGAATTAGACTGCGCCAATCGCTCTCATTCGTCCGAAAATTCTACTGGCTGAAGTTACGCTCAATGCAAGGGGGTGAGGACGACTACTAGTACCTACTGGCCAGGTTGAGAAATGTTTTGCACCTCCCAAGGCCCTGAATCAGCTCAACAAATAGACGGTGAGTGGCTACCAGCATTCCTACAGAACGAAACATTGGATATAGGAAAAACACACTCATGTTTAAGTCCCAATCGTCAAATAATGGCCGCTTTTGGTGGGTCGAAAGATCGTATGGGGGAGCAGATGTGCTGCATTTGCCTAGAACGTTTTCAGAATGTGTATGATGTTAGGGTCCTACCGTGCATGCATACGTTTTGTAGACATTGCCTTACCCAGAGACTAGGCGAGCCTGACAGAATACACTGCCCACTGTGCTCTCATGAGACACCTTTAGGCGAATTTGGACTCGATTCTTTAACATCTAACTTAATACTAGATAACATTTTAGGTGTTGTTGGTCAGGAAGATGAAAAAGACCCGAATGATTTTCATCTTTGTAAGTCCTGCGAGGACAAGCAACTGGCAACATGTATATGCCGACAGTGTCAGGAACAGCTTTGCGATCGATGTGTACGTGCGCACCAAAGAGTACGAATGACGAAAGATCACAACATATGTCGACTTGATAACTTCTTCAATGACCCTATCCCAAAACGTAGTCCTGGACAGTCACCCACTTACCATTCAGTTATTCAGCCAAGTTTTGACAAAACCATAAGCTATTGCGATGTACACTCAAACGAAGTCCTTCGCCTTTACTGTGATACATGCTCTATTGCAATCTGTCGCGAATGCACCATGCAAGATCATGGAGGTCACAACTGCGTCTATCTTCAGGATGCTGTTCAGAATAGCAAAACTATTGCAAAAAGATTACTCATGGAAGCGAACAGTAGCATTCGGACTTTGGAAGACAGCATTACTTTGGCGCAAAGCATGGCTGATAGAGTAGAGATGCATTCGCAAATGATTGTTACCGAAGTCAAATCCACCATCAGGAGACACATGTCTGCGTTAGAGGAACGTGAGCGAGATCTTTTAGTGAAAGTTGAAAAAATTCGTCAAGTTAAAGGAAAAGCATTAAATTTTCAAATGGAAGAGCTTCGTCAAGGATTGGATAAGATATTGGACTGTGTAAAATCTGTTGAAGGTGCAATGCATGCTGGAACGGATATTAATGTCCTCAAAGCTAAAGATCGCATGGTAAAACAAATGCAAACCATGAGAGGATTACAAAATCTGTTACAGCCTCATGAAGACGATACAATATTGTTCACGCCACCTGATGGGGCATTGCAGACTGCCATTAGTTCTCTTGGATTTGTTAGTAGCAGTGCTTACGCTCCAAATTGTATTGCTACTGGTGACGGCCTTAAGCGTGCTTTACTAGGCAAATTAAGTACGTTTCTTGTCCATGCTAGAGATCATAATGGTGAAGCTTCATTTGCTGGAGGGGAGCCAGTAGTAGTTGTTGTGCATGGACCAGATGGAGGAATATATTCTGCAGATGTTCTTGACCGTGAAAATGGAACATATTTGATCAGTTATCGTCTACAGAGTGAAGGTCCGCATAGTGTCTCTGTTACCATCAGAGGACGACATATACGTGAGAGTCCATTCACAGTAAATGTGAGAATAGGGCGTAGTTACCAAAATATTGGAACGGTACAGAAGGAGTTTGGCTGCGAGGGTGAAGGCGATGGAGAACTTTGCAGACCGTGGGGAATTACAACCAATAAGGATGGCTATCTAATCATTGCAGATCGTAGCAACAACCGTATACAGATCTTCAACCCCGATGGTACCTTTTTGCGTAAATTTGGTACCGCTGGATCCCGAAATGGCCAATTTGATCGGCCAGCTGGTGTAGCTATTGATCCAGAAGAAAAGATCATAGTAGCAGATAAAGATAACCATCGAATCCAAGTTTTTACTTTTGATGGGCAGTTTATTTTTAAATTTGGAGAGAAAGGAAGCAAAAATGGCCAGTTTAATTATCCTTGGGACACTGCGTGTAATCGTGATGGTAAAATCCTTGTGTCCGATACGCGCAACCACCGTATTCAACTCTTTAGCAATGATGGTACATTCATTAATAAGTACGGGTTTGATGGCGCTTTGTGGAAGCACTTTGATTCGCCTCGTGGTGTAGCTTTTAATCCTGAAGGCCAAATTATTGTCACAGACTTTAATAATCATCGCCTGCTTGTTATCAATCCAGATTTTCCAGATTTTCAATCCGCACGTTTCCTTGGTTCAGAAGGAAGCAATATTGGCCAGTTCCTCCGTCCTCAAGGTGTCTGCGTTGACCAAGAAGGTAACATCATCGTAGCAGATTCTCGCAACCATCGTATTCAAGTGTTTCAATCCAATGGCACTTTCTTGTGCAAGTTCGGCTGTCCCGGTTCGGCTCCAGGTGAACTCGACCGACCCTCGGGTATATGTGTGTCTCCTGATGGTTACATAATTGTTGTTGACTTCGGAAATAATCGCGTGCAAATTTTTTAATACGGGTAAACAAACATAAAGCTTTGGTAGAAATAGGCTTTATGTAAAAAAAAAAAAATGTTTGCGTCTACTGTACATTATGATATGCACTTCTGTTTGGCACGCTAAATGTATGTATATTATTCATGTGTTTTGTGTATGTCGGATGCTCCAAGCATTGAAATTGGCCTGTCAGCTATTGATGATGTGTAAAATTTTTAATGCCAAATACAGTAAAAGTTTGTTGCCAAGTGAAAAGAAATAATGCAACGAAAAAGTGTTGTTGTTAAAAGATTTTTGCATTTTACTCAGAAATGTTAAAATATATATCTACCTCAGGTATTCCGTGGTTATTACAGAAATGCATATCATAGACGTGTTTGTCTCTCAGGGCTTTGTTGTGTATAGTAAAGACATTGCACTCTATATGTGATCTATATATATATTAAAAAAAAAACTTTTTTCCCAAATTGCTGCAGTAACTAAGACGATTTTATGTCCTGTAATTTTTTTTTTGCCGTTATTGATGCCATGTAAATTTGTGATTTAATCAAACTACAAATAGAATTAGGAATGAAATGTAATAACATAAAATGATAGTGTGAATTTGAATGTTTTTTCAAAAGTATAGTTAACACCATCCTCTTTCTTTAACAAAGGTATTGTATAAGTGTCCCATATTTTTGAATGTTTATTTACATTTTTTCCATGAAGATTACAATCTACCTCTAAAAATAGACCCTTATCACTTTTTGAAATAGGTGCTAACAATTATAGTCAAAATTCAAAGAGTATTCTATCAAATGTTGAAATTATGGTCAATTTTTAAGCCTGTTTTTGTTATTCTTATTCTTCCAAGTCCACATTGAATATTATATTCTGATTATCAATATCATACCTCAATCAATTACCTCAGATTAACTATTAGAACCGCCTAGTCGATAGTAGATTTTACTAGTTTTTAAATCAACTTAATAATTTTAAACCGTGTTATGAAATTTAAATATCAATGTATGAACTTTGGGCAAAATTTGTTTTCAAATTCACTCGTAGTTCTAAAAACCATGTTTTCAATTTTTTTTTTTTTTTTTTAGACCATGTTATTCAGGTCAAGGGTCATTTTATGATTCACATACTTGTCATGGTTTAGCTTATGGTTTTATTCTCGGGAAAGAAATTCAAGAGTGCTTTTTACTGTAATTGCCCTGGGTTCATTAACAGTTCAAACCCATCCAGAACTAGTGATTCCATGCTGTTTTCCCACTTTGCCATCATCTTCAAATGTAATGTACATGGAGTCTCCACTGACGTTCTCGGGACATGCTTGGTTAACTTCATTAAATATCATCTTTGAGAATCATCCAAATAAATAATAAATATCAGTATGAATGGTTCCATCTCAAACTTTTAACCTCGATACCGGAAATCAGTTCCATAATAACTGTCATTGGTGATATTACTCATTTTTACTGAACTCAGGAAAAAAATTATTCATTAGACCTCTACTATTTTTTGTACATTCTTATCCTTTTTAGCTAAATTAACTTACCTCCGTCAAACAGTAACGTTTTCTGAGAGCATAAATGACAAATCAAACCTTCCCAGTTGTGGTACATTTATGTAAAGTGTAAAAAAAAGTTGTGATTCATGATTCAAAATCATTTTTTTGTGTTGTAATTTGTGGTTCAAAACATTTTCTATTTTTTTGGGTTGGAAGTTCAATTTTTTCATTACTACCAGGTCCGATTTTAATTCTAGTGACTTGGCAGTAATTTAAATGCCCTGTACTGATTTTGAGTCAGAAAATTCAATGAACACTAGCATTCTCAAATTGAAATAGATAAAAAAAAGCTTGGCAAATTTTTGTTTATATTCTGGATTTTGTTTTGCATTCAAACATTGGGATTAGCAATGTGATTATGGTACCTTTACACAATATCAATACAGCAAATAAAGAACCCCAGAACTAAAAAACCAAGCTAACAATTGAAAGCAAAGAAAAATTTAATCTCGGGCCAAATTAAGCAAATGCAGTGCCCAAGGAATGTCGTCAGAATCAAATTAGGGATGAAACTACAGCTAGACTGATTTAGAAGCCTTGCAGTTTCAGTACAGATAATTGGCCCATATTAAGCAAATCAAATTCTTGTTGATTTATACCAGCTAGAATTTAGAATTTCGTATTTTTATTTTTTGAAAAATCATCTGGCTGTCACATTAATGATTTAAATATTTTTTTTAGATGTTTATTTTTTGATGTAGTGGACCGAGATTTACCCTCAGTTTCTAATTATCAAAAAAAATATGGCTTTTTGATGTAAAAAAATAAATCAATCAACTACCACCATTATTAAAAGTGCCTTCTACTTGATGACATCATGTTTGTAAAATGCAACACATCAACATTAATTATATATATTAAAACATGCCATACAATTGATGATGGGATAAAAGCATGATCTGTTTCAAGAAATGTTGAAACTCAATTCAAGAACCTTGATTTATTTACATAAACACATATTTCAACCAAAGTATCAAAAATTAAAATATATCAAATAAATGTCCCTCATTCCAGAAAGGGGATAAAAGTAATGTAACACATGAATTTGTTGCCATTTAGTATATTGTAGTTTGTTTACAATTTTGACACCCCACCTGCATATTTAATTCTTAGACAAATTTTGCTTTTCCGTGTGAATATTATCTTAAATAAATGGATGTTTGTGTTTTTGTTTATTGTAAACAGAGGACTTTTAGTATGGCCATCAAGTTCATGATTGAAAATCTGTTGTGTAGAGGTTCACTGATAATACAGTACGCTGTACTCCATCAAGCAAAAACCTAAAAAGCAGATATTATACTCAATATATTGTCCTCCCAACATTTTTTTCATTATGCAACTATAAATCAGAAGCAAGATCTTAACTAACCAATCAAATACAATGTTTAAATTTGTCCTTAGTTAATTTATAGTTGCTAATAATGGACACATTTTTTTCATTTCTTTGTCCTAAAAAGGACAAAATATTGAATCAAAAACAGTTATCTGTTGTAGTCTTCTTGAATTGAGATAAAACGATTTTCAAATTACTCTGCTTCAAATCAGTGAACTCAATCCAAAATTGTAAATATTCAGTTTGTAATGGACAAGCGTGTTAAAGGTCAGATAATTAATAATTAATTGTTCGTCGTCTTTAGTATTATTTTATTATAAAAAATCAAGAACATTGTGTTTTCAGTATACTAGTAGAGTAGCGACTCTTTAAACTCATTGATAATATAATTCTGGCTGTAAATTCAAGGTTACATACAGAGTTACAGTTATTAGCATATTGCATAGTAATAACACCTAGTGTACTAGTAAGAATGCCCAAATATTGAGTTCTAATTTAAGTCATAATGTACCCAATATTTTTATTTCAGTGAACGTTATAAAGCATGATAACAGTCAGTAGTGGTTGGTGGCAAGATGACAATTCATGTTCTTGTAATAATTGTATTCTTACAACTGGCCTGCATTTGTTTTTAACGATTAGCCTTCAGTTGGTCAGCTTTTATGATTGTGTTGTGGGTAGATAATGAGTGGACATTGAACCATGCATTTCTATGGACAAACTCGAAAGGTCAGTTGTTCAATGACAAAATGCGGAAAGGTTTATAAACTAGCAATAGCGTAGTAGTATTGTACATCACTGTGCATCCATTTATTTATTTTTTTCAAACCAAGGTCAGTTCCTGGACAAAGATTAAAAGCAAATTACTCCCAACAATTCCACTGTAAAATTACACAGGTTTATGCACCCATTCTTATGTAAACCGATATTACAAAATTGTGTTCAAATTCGGGATCTGATAATCAGCTGATAAAGATAATATTAAATTTTGTCATCATCTAACTACTGTATATTTAAAAAGTAAAATTTACATGTCCTATCTGTAATACTACGGTAGGCAGGCATATGCTTCAATTTTTTTGCTTGTAATTTTTCATGGATAATCCGCTCATTATGCTTCTTTTTCTGGAATTAAATTTTGAGTTATTCATTGTGGGATTAATTCAGTTTAACCATCATCAGTTTTACTGATGAAAATATATATTTGCATCAATTCTTGCATAAGATAAATAGAGGTACAGTAGAACTCTGCTAACGATTGATAAAGCATTTCAACCATTTGCATTTTTTTCCTGTTTGGCCAAGCCTCGTCTGTAAACCTCATGACTTTTGAGCAGAATTATATTTTGACTGCGTAAGCAGTTACATAACTATAGAATTTTATAGTTCAATGATAAAGATAAGAGAGCCCTGATAAGGAGAATATAATGTACTATACTACCATATGGAGCAGCTCCATGTACTTTGATATCTAGGCCCTATACCAGCTTACAGTACTTATGAAGATGCTGGTAGAATGAGGCCTGCTCAAGTATCTGACTGGACTGGTTCATGTGAGAGGCAGGCTTCTTTCTGTATTCCGTGGTGATTGTCATAAAATTGGTTTTGTAATTGTCTTTGCTCTTTACATATAGAACAATTTTTCAATGTTGGTGATTATGCTGTACTGGTAGGAGAAAGCATGTTTGACAACCTATAGTTATATTTTATAATATTTTCAGTGTATTAAATAAGCAATTTATATATGACATTATGAATAAACAATTTGCTTGCGAACATTTTTATTCAACCCATCTACATATTCTATAAGGAGATCTTCAATTTCTCAAAAGAATGCTTTTTGAATCCTCACAAATGCAAAAATTTCTGTTTTTTTTTTTTTTAAAGAAACCTTTGCTGTAAATCTGTTCTGTTTTTTTTTTTTTGTTGTTTTTTTTTGTAAAATGAGTTGTATTATTAGAATGATATTTCATGGTTTGTGCTGGTCAGTTATTGTTTTCTCAAATTATGAGAGTATGTTATATGTTGAAGTTAGTTTTTATTATTTAGAGAAGGTTTGAAAATCTTAATTTTGGAGATTCTGGTTGTCCTGTGTAGCTGTTGGTATACTGTACTGTAACAGAATATAAAATCTAGCCTTATATTATGGCTGTGTGTGCTCGAAGCTCTTGCTGAAAAGCTTATAAAATTACATAACACTTTGAGATACATTGTCACTATTGTCAGGGAAATTATCAGATACCTTCTACTGTAGTAACTATAATGACAAAGTTTAGCAATCTAAATTGATTAATTTTAAAAATTGTAGATATATTTTAATAATAAATAGTAAAATATTAAAAATACATGGCTTAAAGGGTGGTGATTAACATTACTACTTGTATTTTTGTGCCTAATCATTGTAGACTTAAGAAGTAGTAATTGTAATTTTGACGTGTACTCTTGTAATGCCATGAAATGGTTTGATGTAGTTCTCTGACCCCTTAACAAGGCTAGTTTATCAGCCTTTGTCCTGCTTGCATACACACTTGACTTCCTTTGGTCAGGCTGAAATTCTAAGCTGCCCTGCCTTGAATGAGTCAGCCATTGGCCTAGCATGTCCATTCCAAATGGGACTAAATGCTTTCTTGGTGTTTTTTTTTTTTTGCAAGGTTCTTAATAGCTCAGTGTCCTTGGTCATAATTCCAGTAATTTGCGCAAGAGCACATTCTCGCAGAAATTGAATCTTTTTGGAAAAGTGACAGATTCTGGCTAAAAAAATTTGTAGCGACCTACATACAGGATAAGAAAAAGTAAAAATTCAGTTGGTTACAAGCTGCTACCAATTCATGGAATATTCTCATTCTCAACTGTAGGTTGCATCAACATATTTATCTCAGCATGTTATTTTTGTAGACATTTTCATCTAATACTGGTAATTAGGTATGCATTCTCTGTCTGCTATTCATCAATAATTCTCTTACAAAAAAGCAAATTGGAAATTCTTAACTCTTGAGTTAAGTAGTATTTTGTTGATTCTTTTTTACAAATTTATGTAATTGTTGGGATCATGTCATAGACATGTGTATACAGTGTTTAGCCTTATCATTGGCAACATTTATTGGTTTCTTTACAAAATTTAACACTTTTCATGCCCTGTTATATAATAAACAATTATGCATTTTGATGGATTTCAGTAGGCAAAAAAAATTTTTGGTGCTTCATTTTATTGATGCTGGCAAATGCTATGGTAGATAGTGCAGGGAATGTAGTTTATACCAGAATATACAGTAAACATTTATTCATTACGTATTTACAGTAGATTGAATAAAGCTGATTTTTGAGATTATTATGGGCATTATAATTTGCTTTATGCAAAACTCACCTCTTCTTAATCTATTACACAATGAATACACTTTATATAAATATAAAACTGAAACATTATAGTTCTGATTGTGCTTTTAATTCCATAATATATATTTGTATAAATTTAATAGATACTTTAAATATTTTAGTTGTGTTATGGGTTAACGCATATTATATTTGTTTATCAATTTTTGTGTCTAATATATTTATTTTTGTTTCAATTCTCAATAATTTCTGTAGCAATGTATATAATTATAATAGCGATCCAGCTTTTGGGGTACTGTGCCTATTTTTTCAGGGATATCAAAGATAACACCAATTACCTCATTTTTATAAATTAGTTTTTTTACTTAAAAATATGTCAAAATGACAGGTTTTTCGTTTTCCAAAAAAAAAACGATTTTGTGGTAAACGCTCTGAAATTATGATTTCGTGCTGTTGTAATATTTTTTAGATGCATGTACTTTCTTGTTGGCTTGCTACCTTAAAGGTTTGTCGCTACATTCATTCATACTGCCTCACGAAAACTTCAGTTGAAAGTTCCCTTGTTGCTTCAAATGGTCTCAGACCAATATTGATCTTAATGTATAGATTTTATCATAAAAATGATTATTAAATCAATGTTAATGATGTTGTTAAACATTATCTGTAAGATAAGTACCGACGTATCTGTGAGATAAGTCAAGAGGATGTTTTCCTCGTAATATGCATTGTAAAATTCAGGGAAAATCAAATTGCTATGTATGTATAAATAATAGAACTTTTATTAGTCTTATATTAGAACTGAATGGCATCTTGTGTATGTTGTGTACTCATTAGAATGAAACTGGAATTCACTGAATTGATATAGAGTAGATAATTTTTCTGTTTATGTACACTGTAGATAGTAACATGTTTTCATAATTTCTTATGTTTACACAGGATTTGGTCAAACATTAACAAATTCTTGTGGCCTTCGATAAGTATGGTTTGCAAGATATACCATTCTGAAATTTAATTCAAACCAAGATGACTTTACTGATATCAAATACTCAAAAAGCGTTTGAATCGACAAATATATCAAATAGGAAATCGGTACTGGTACGATGAAAATTTTAGGTAATGGATGAATTTTAATGAAATACAATAATGAATTTGTGTCGATATGAGAATATTTAATGTTGAAATAAAATCAGTTGTACGAAGTAAAAAAATTATGTCTGACAAATGAAATTTATGTAGTTATAATAGATTGGTAATTCCTGAAAAATAAAATGTTTGGTGGGTTTTGTTTTGTTAACATTTGTAGGATAGCAGTAGTTTTGTATAGAGTTTAATGTATAGATTAAATTGTTGCTTTTTTGTTATAAAGATTCAATGTGTTAGTGTAGTGTGCTTCAGTTTTCTTTTACTGATGTATTGTGAATGGATTAAAACAAAATATGATTGTTATGTATTTCATGTGATTGACTATGAAAAATCATAAGAATGTTGAAAATAAAGCTCTGTCTGTATGTTTATTTTACCTGGTTTTTACTGTCTTCTGTAGTTTGTATTGCAGTGTCACGTGTCACTAAAAATTGAATACATTATTCTTTCTTTGACCATAGTGTTCTTAGTACCACATAAAAAAATAACCATGAACAACACACACAAAAAAAAATAAACATTTTAATTGCTCATTTAAAAATTAGGTGCATCTGAACTTTCCCTAAGTCAGATTTGAATTTCAAGGCTAATATATTTTTGTTGCTGAAGAGAAGTGACGCTGAGTCTGAAGCAAGTATGCAAGATTCCATGGGTTGAGCCACAACTGATGGGCCTACCATACTTAAAATTTAAATAGAATTTCCAGAGCCTGAACTACATTAAATTAAATTTGCAAACTACAGTACACTGTCCTTGTGATAAGATGTGTAGAACTGTAACTTTTTGTGCAAAGATATATAAATGTGAAGTGTCAGTAATGGCAATAATGTTCACATTCCTCACATACAGACATTAATTGTATTTACAGTACAGTTAAACTTGTTTGAAACACTGGACAGCTGGCATTAATGTAGTACTGTACTGTACTATACTATCATTTTTATTCATTGTGTTTAAAGAATCCCTAACTTTAAACAACTACACCTGTATATACCTGTATTATTGACAAAAATATACATATTTCAGTTGAGAATGAGATTACAACCTTTACTGTAGTTTACATCTAATCTGCAACATGTACTGGTAGTATCAGTTATTCAAAGTATTCTTGTTTTGGATAATTAACAACGCTTACTGAAAATTATCAATTGATCGACTTTTCCCACCCAACAATTTTATCTATTTGACCCAGTACATATTTGGCTTGTACTGTAGTTGTAAGCTTCATTGCAGTTTTTGAAAAGGTTACCCAGAGTTCTTCAATGGAAAATTGTACTACAATAGTGACCTTGTGTGGGTCAAATCTTTGACCTATTGACTTACAGTTATGGGGTTTGAGTGTTTATATCAGAAATAAGTCACAAATTCAAATTTACTAATTGATCTAACTGATGTTGAGATAGTAAGTCAAAACAAACTTGGTGAAACTTTCTACTTATCTACTTTTTATTTAGCATAGAAATCATAAAACTTAGTTATTTATTCAGATTGTAACTTATATTGTATATTATTTATATTGCACATAATATATAGTTTAATGTCCAGTTTTAAATATTTTTTTTTAAAGGATGGCAAAATGGGCAAAAAATTGCAACTAACAAGTACCAGTTGAACTTGCCTATATCAAATCCAAAATGTCATTGAAGAATTGTTTGACTTAGATAAAATTTGACTTACAGATCATTAATGGAAAGGTAAAGATTGGGCATAAAATAAGATAGACAATTTAGGAAAGTTTGACCGTACTGTACATTCAGAAAAATGAAAAATGAGCACAAGTGACTATCCTCTAATGAAAGATGTACTGTAGACTCTTGAATGTTAAGAAAGTTCTAAAGTTTAGGATCAGCAACCATTATTGAATTCTCGCGTGCGAGTTCAGCTGTCACACTTGAGTGGATAGCGAACGAATGACTGTGACACTGTAGTGGACTTTAGTGAGGGAAAGCAAGTCTACAGGCATAACTAAGTAAAATTAGAAATGGATAGATTTTTTCAGGACTTTGTACAGTAGGTGAAAATCAACAACATTAGCTGTAATTTTTGCCATAAAGATTTAAAGCATAATACAGCATTTTAAAATGTTTTGGTTACATTGTATTAAAGTTTAAATTATATATTGTCTTAAAAGATAGTCTTGTATATCGCTTTAAAATAAAAATGTAATAAGTTAAAACAATCACATACATACATACATTTAAATACATTTTCCAAATTCATGATAATGTTCAGGTAGACCTACTTTAAAAATGAGAGGATGCATGTAACTATTTTTAAACTTTAATTTTATATCTATCTTTAATTTTTAGTAACATTTAAAATTATTACAGTATATTAAAATAATCCAAAGCAACTACTGTATATAATTTGTATAAATTATGAGTCCAATATGTATATAGGCCTATTGTCAGCTAGCTTTTCCAGTTCCAGGACCCCTTGAATAAACTTGGTCTCGGTAGCCATTTCCAAATTTATTCATTTTCTAAGATAAATTTTTTCCGATCTAAATAATGTCTTTCTGTTACTCCTAAAGATAGATTTTTTTTCCTATCTAAATGTCTTTCAGTTAGACCTACTTGCTATTTTTGATCTTGATATTTATTTGTTTATTATTTATAAATCACGATCTTTAATTTTTTTAAAATATAGTTTTGTGATTTTTTACACATATTGTAATGATCATACATGGCCTTTGCAAGATTTCCAATGATTAAAAAGACTATTATTATTATTGTGATTGTTCCTTGTGATAGGTTGCTATTGCATTGCTATACAGTAATTGTTATTGTAAAAGTAATTGTTCCAACTTCCGATTTTGAACATATTGTAGGTACAACGCAGATGCATATTTCATTGCAATTTCATACATTGCAGTTGGATTTTCTACAAGTATAGAATATGATGTGGTCAAACATCCTCTTTATTAAAGTTGTTTTGAGTGGTTTTTGCTGATTATTATTATATTCTTTATTACTGATCAAAAATTGATTTATCAATTTTTTTTTACACAGTTCATAATATAATAAGATTAGTCATCAAAACTAGTTAAGAACAGAATGAAAATTGTGAGGCAAAGCAAACAAGTTGTTTATCAACCCTTTTTACTGTTTATTTTTCAAAAACAACTAGCATATCCCACCACTCCTCATTGGTTGAGGCCACTCTTGAGTCCACTCTCTTTGGTCACCATAGCAATGTGTCTTGTTTGATATATGCAAGGAGGTTCCTCCTTGATATATGCAATAATTATGTGTAATGTCATTGTACCAATGTATGAATGTAAGGTAGCCCAGAATGTCGTCTATCCCAGGTGATTAAAATACTACAGCCCCACACCTGACTGACTGTGAACTTGAGGTAGTTTATCTGGTTGTACACCGATCCTCTTAAATATGAAATCATGTACGATAATCTGCGACTGCGTTGAACTCTTGTGGCTTTGAACTCCAGAGCAATCAACAATTTTTAAGATAAAATAAGTGGGGTTCTAAACTCTTGTTTTGAGTTTCGAGGGTAATGCAGCTGTTGTTAGAAAAAGCAAAATTAATGTGATATTTGCTGGTACCTAGGCTCATTGGATCATAAACACTTCTGAGCTTCCATAATAATATAGCATCTTAATGGGTACAATGTTCAAACATAAAGGAAGGTTTTTCATTTTAAGAAATCACTTTCTTCATAAATTACATCACCGTAAATGCACACTCTGAGAGAAATGAGTTTTTGATTGCTAACAGCAAGTTTAATCACAGCTTCCAAACCTCAACTCAACAGCAAAACTATCAATCCTATTAATGGAAATGTATAATTAATTATAATAGAATAACAAAAATATATAAAAAATATAACTATTCTTAAAATAACAATAGCATCTAAAATATTTCATGATTGTACAATGTTCAAATGAAGGTACATCTGATTTACAGACTTCAGTGGCATTGCTTGACATTAAGCTGATGGGGGAGTGAAGGTAGTGTAAGGTGAGAGCTTGAAGGTTTGTGAGGTTGTAAGCTGGCAGAATAAGGTAATATGAGGTGATTTTTAACTACAGTACTTGAGCATAATGTTTTGCTTTTTGCTCAGCAAATTTCAAGGGGATGCATGTAGGGTGTGCAAACTGTTTTTTTTTTTTGGGTGAGATGTTCCCCCTCCCATGAAAACCCAAACCCCTGTAGATATGCCACTGACAGACTTCAATCCCATTAAGGCCCAAACCCCCTGTAGAATGCCACTGAAAGACTTCAATATCCAAAAGTCTGATTTGATTATCAGTCAATTTAAGGCATGCATTATTTTATTTAGGTTTAAAATATTTTGATCATCACAGTGATGAATCGTTTTAGTGGTTTGGGTGTAATTGTAATTAGTAAATTGAGATAGAAACGGTTCTGTTACCATCAGCTGGTAATCGTATAACCAAGATAAGGACTAAAAACTGCGCCATGATAAATCATTCTTGGTCTGCTGAATTCTGTGCCAAATAACGGTTCTTCATCATGACAAAAGAATTCATGTTTTTATTAAAGGCACTGTTTCTACTGCCACAGGAAAATGTTTTTTGAAAGAACCATTTCTTAAACACTGTTTTCTATAGCCGGAATATAAACACACCCTAGATGGGAATAAACTTTACAGCAAACAAAAGAAAGAAAACCTCAAAATTAAACTTTGATGATTCATTTTAAAAAAAACCACTTAAGTTATAGACTTTAGTTGAGTTTTAAAAAATTAATGCATTCAGTGATTTACTCGTGTTTTACTTCAAAAATCTTTAAATTCCTTGGCAGGAATTTAAGATACAAAAACTTAAAAAATGGGAATATTCAAATGTCTGTTATTTGGCTAAAAAAAAATTGTTTTAATATTCAGTTAAACTTCTCAAAACAATTGCAGTATTTTTCCAAGTTTATAGACTGTGTACCTGAATATATTTATTTTAATATGGAGACAATTGAATCACCCATAGGTGTTTTTCATCAAGGCTGTGCAAGGCCATACATAATAAAAGAAACAAAATTATTGAAAACACAATGAATTAAAGAAAACTTCAAAAACACAGCATTCAACTATCAGTGAAACTGTCCTTTACCAGACACCAACCCGATATTTCTGAATTTCTGGGATAACAATAGAATCAGAAGTACTGTAGTATTTCATGTGATTTACCATTAAGTACCTTCTTCAGGTGATGGGTTGTATAGGATTCTGTGAAGATAAAAGAACTGAGCTTTTCCAAATACCTAGAAATAGTATGAATGGGTTTGGATAAAGGTAATTTCTATAAACATTGCTTTTTTTAGTTTCAATTTAAAAATGCTCTCCAGATCTCAACCATTTTGATTGCCTTGACTGTAATAGCCTCATTGTCACGCTGTG